CCGCCACGAAGCAGCCGATGATGATCTTGGTGGTCTTCATCACCTCGTCCAGGCTGGTCTGCAGCTTGTCGCCGGCGTCGGCGGTGGGCACGGCCACCTGCTTGGGCGTCCGCGTGGTCTGCACCAGGACGGTGGTGGTGGTGGTGTAGGCCGGCTGGTAGCCCGTCGAGGTGGTGGGCACGGGCTTGGTGAACTTGGGGGAGATGTCCTCCGGGGAGATCTCGGTGGTCTCCACCGTGACGGTGGTGAAGAAGCTGTAGTTGGAGGTGTTGAGCTCGGCCGTGCTCACGTTGAGGTACGCCGAGGCGTTGGAGTTGCCCGCCACGTTGGTCACCATGCAGGTGTAGACCCCGGTGTCCGTCAGCAGGACGTGGGAGAAGTTGAGGGTGCCGTCGTTGAGCACGGAGATGCGCGGGTGGCTGGACGCGTGGCTCAGCACCGTCCCGTTGGGCAGCAGCCACCGCACCGACGACATGGAGGGCGTGCGGCACTTGAGCTCGGCCACGCGCCCCTCCGAGATGTTGAGGTCCGTGGGGGCGTCCATGATGAAGGGCGCCGAGCACTGGAAGGAGGTCTGGTCCACCTCCACCAGGAACCTGCCCCGCATGTGCAGCGGGGCATGGCAGCGCCCGCAGCAGGTGGAGTTGGTGGGGATGTACTCCCGCAGCCACCACGACAGCCAGAGGATGTCGCAGTCGCAGTCCCAGGGGTTGTGGTGCAGGTGGAGCTCCACCAGGTACCGCAGCGGGGCGAAGAGGTCGTGGGGCAGGGAGGACAGGTTGTTGTGGGCCAGGTTGAGCTCCACCAGCGCCGTCAGGTCGTCGAAGGCGTTGCGCTCGATCAGGTTGATCTGCGAGTTCATAATCCAGAGCTTTTTGAGGGATTTGAGCCCGTGGAAGGAGCCCGGTTTGATCTCGGGGAAGTTATTGCCCGACATCTCCAGCTCCTCCAGGCCCACCAAGGGCGTCAGGTTGGGCATGTCCTTAATGTTGCACATCCCCAGGTTGAGGTACTTGAGGTTGTACAGGCCCTCGAAAGCCCCCTCGGAGATGTACTCCAGCTTCTTGAGCTCGCCCAGGTCGAGGCGCATGAGGGAGGGCACGCGGTTGAAGGCGTACGAGGGGATGCTCTCGATGGGGTTGTTGCGCAGCCACAGCTCCCGCAGCTTGGACAGGTACTCGAAGGCCCCGCTGGGGATGACGGTGAGCCAGTTGTCGAAGAGCTCCAGGGTGTTGAGGCTGGCCAGGCCGTTGAAGGCCCCCACCTCGATCTGCCGGATGGCGTTCCTGCCCAGCTGCAGGACCTCCAGGTGGTGCAGGTGGCGGAACGTGTCCGCCTGGATCATCTGGATGTTGTTCTCCATGAGGTTGAGATAGCGGGTGTTGGAGGGGATGCCGGGGGGCACCTCGGCCAG